AAAAAGAAAAAAATAAAAAAAAAAAAAAAAACACCAGGCAGTATCACTCCGTCACATTGTAACACCTCAACAAGTTCATACACAACACACAAGTTAATATTACGAACAGCAAGGGAGGGGGGAGGATAAGAGTCAGTGCTACCCAACAACCAAGAAGTCTAGTGTTGACTCCCTAGGAAGTCTCCCTATGGGCATCTTCATGAAGTAAGTTTACAAACTTATAGAGCAGGGATAGGCAACCTCAGCACTCTAATATGGTGAAACTACAAGTCCCATGAGGCACTGCAAAACTCTGACAGCCACAGGCATGACCCCCAGAGGCAGAGGATGGGGTTTGCTGTTTCACCACAGCTGGAGTGCCGAGGTGCTTTATGGAAATGCAATAGAGGAACAGAGTTAATTTTAAAGTAACATCACCACCACAGGGTCACTATTTCCCGATTGGCCACCTGGAAAAGAAGTATACCAGTAACAGGTGACCGTGGAATATTTAGTAGTCAGGAAATTTCACGGAACACCTGAAGCCAATGATTTGGAGGGGTGTCCCAATACTTTTGGCGATATAGTGTATATCTTTCAGGCACATTGGCTCTGGCCTCCGAACCTGGCAGACATCACAGAATACGTAAAACGCATGAAATAAAAACCACACAGACCCAAATGATTTTCTTCACTTTTATAATTTTTAGATTACGCATAAATGAACAAAAATCATTTTTAAAAAAGGAATTCCTCGATTTCAGTATCAATCTTTGTACAGTCCGTAAATGTGTTCCCTCCGCCGCTGCGGGGTACAGACAACCGTCCGCTTTAGCGTTCCTTCTCTAAATGGGCCTGTTCGATAACAGTGCAAAGATCAGCCACCCAGGGAAACCAGATCACCCCATTCCGTCCAGTTGCTATGGGTTACTGCAGACCGCAGTTTCTCTTTATAGTGGAACTCTGGGAAAAGGATATATATGACGCAGTCTGTCACAAGCATCAACACAGCGCTTATTAGTTATCCGAGTCCTCCTGTAACATAGTTTTGTTCATCCTGCCAGTAGCTCCGTTATTGCCTTTAACAGGGTGACAACGTTGTTTGTTTTTGCACTGAAATTGCACAGCAGCGTGGTCACCCTGTGGACTGCATGGACATTTCCCCCTCCCCTTTACATCAGAGTCACCCTTTGCATCACTAGCCCTCATTTCATATCAGAGTTCCCCCCCTCTCACATCAGAGTTCCCCATTCACAACATTTATGGGTTGCAACATCCTGTGGGGAGAAGAACCCCCGAGAAGGCAAGTTGGGGAGGGGGAATCTGCAATCTGGGTGTAACATGAAACACGGGTCAGAATGTGAACTTGGCAATAAAGCGGCTGCAGCAACAGTTTAATATTTAATAGAAGAGGATTGCTTTAGGAGTGGGTGTGAGGAGGAAGCATCAATAAATTCCAAGTGCAGCCCATTCGTCCCGACCCATGTCATTGACGATTTTGCTAGACAGCTTGGTCTGCTTGTGGATCTACTGGCAGCATCAACAGGTAATACAACCATTGTGTGGGGGGAGCTCAGAAAAAAAGAGAAAACGCGGAGTTAACGCTTCTGATAGACGGCATCATCTTAGACTTTTTCCCGGCGTTCCACTATTATAAGCCCATCCATATGAATGTCACGACGCAAGGCAGCCATTATCCCGATAGAAGCCGCATCACTAATAGTGACATCAGTAAAGGGAACCTGTTACGGCATTTGGTGCTGCCACGGCAGAGCTCCTCTTAGAAGACCAGTTGCCTGGCTGTCACGCTGAACCCCCGGCTTCACGACTCTGAATAGCAGACCTGGGACAAGTATGCAGATCAGCAAAGTCAGAAGTTCTTCTGTGTTAGGGACCCAAAATAGTTCTAGAGTCTAGGCAGCTGGGTCAGCAGACTTCTTCTCGTTGCAGGATCCTTTTAATAAATAGCAGCCTTGCCCAGTGACTTCTGCTGCACGGGGATCCATTTCCAAAATGGCCGCTTTGTATGTTTAATGTGGAACAACAATATCAGTATTGGACAGACAGGGCAAGGGTTAGAACCGCTGTCTTGCTATCTGGGTGCCCGCCGATTTCACGTCACTTCCTGTCCAGGTAATAGGAAGTCACGAACAGGAAGTGAGGGTAAAACTCCCAAACGGGGGCGCAGCAACAAAACCCTTCCCCGCTACATCTTATATAGAAAAAAGTTTCTCTGGCGTTTCAGTTTTCACTCATCTTTAGCTGATGGGGATTGGTGGGGGTGGAGTAGAAGTGACAAGACTCTCACCTCCATGTTATCAGCTCGTGTGCCTGAAAGACCCGTGACTTCTGGGACAACACCCTGATC